TGGGAGGTGTCGATAACCCCCATTTTGCCTCCCCCTCGGCACGCTACTGGGCTTGGTTAAGTTTGTTTTCCACTCGGATTTTGATCCTCTGAAATTAGTTTTAGTTTAAGTTTCTCCTCAAAAAACAATTTCCTATGCTGGCGTTATGAATTCTTGGCTGATTTAAAAACAAAATTTTTTATTAGCTTCAAACACTTACTCCACTTTTCAACGAATCCAGTAATCCAATTAAGTTATGATGATGAGGATATAAGAAGAAAAATTAATTGTTATGGGTTGGCGTAGAGTGAGATTTTTTAAGGAGTTTGATTATTTTTTAACAAATAAACAAATGTACAGTAGGAAAAGTACCCAAATTACTTGACAGACTTACTTGAAATAAAAGGCTTTGATTCTCTGCTCTGAAGGGGCTCTCACACATACCCTACAGCTTTTTTACAGCTCACATACATGCACACACAAGCACACACCAATATATGCGTCTTAGGTAGGTACAGTTTCTCCTCATAAAGCACGTAAAAAAAGTTTTTAAAAGCTTCGTTGTTTCAGTAGCTCGCTTAGGAAAAATTTTTTTTTGTGAATTGCTTTACGCTATGAAATGAATTGTTAAACGTTCAAAGTTTAGTTGCTCAAATAGTTTGCTCAAGAAATTTTTTTTGTGAATGACTTAGCGCTATAAATGAAATCTTAAAAATTCTATATTTTAAAAATTGATTAACTTGTTGTGAAAATAAATCGAAACTTGCTTAGAATCATCCAACAAACAGCTTGTTCAAATAACAGTTATATTTTATGAAACAATGCAGCCCATGAAAAAACTTGGGAAGCCTCTATATATCCTTAAATAAAAAACTTCGTACAAAAAATTTTGTTCTATTAGACTGATTAGTTGTCCAATTTTGCGCAAATAGATTTAACTATAAAATAATAACATTAAAAAAATAACTTGTTTCCAAACGATATCTACTTACAGAGTTATTTATAAAAGTTTATAAATACAAATTGGAATCGTTTGGGAGAACGCCATTGAGCCAGCACGGCCCGTTTTCAGGTGTCTCAATAAGCGGAGAACAGAAAAATAGTGAAACTCTTCCATCCAATGCGATAGATTTTCTACGGGTAAACATTTTTTAAACGTGAATCTCTTTATTCGCACCTTTAAACACTCTCTATATAAAAAATTAATTTTATTTTTTGTTTTCTTGGGTAGTATTTTTTATCCAAAACCTAAAAACCATACAAAAAACAAATTCTACAAACTGAGCAAAACAATTTCTCAAAGAATGACAAATGAAACCGTTTTTCCTAGAAAGTAATTATCAAAATCTTATGATTAAAACTATTCAATTGAAACTGAGAAGCCACATTCAAGAAATTGACCCAAGCGGAAAAAAAAACAAAAAAAAGTTTTCAATTTTCCGTGTAATCCGCCCTCTGTTGAGTTTATTTCTAGTTATAGCTAGCTTTTGATTTGCTTTATTTTTAATTTTGAAAATATCACGTTTAACTCTTGTAATGGAAAGTCTCAATATATCAACTTGGCACTCTTTTTGAATACTTTTCCCGATCAATATCAAAACTTTCTCTAACGCAATATTTTCTATTTTCATACAATATTTTAGTGAATGAATCCATCCTGTTTTTATAAAAAAATTATTCTGTAAGATTTTTTGGTCGACAGTAGCTCATGGTCTTTGTTTTTTTCTGATATTTAGTGTTAATGTTTTCTTTTCTAACCAATCACTTACTTCAATCAAAGCCGATTGATGTGCGAGAGCAATATAGTCTTTGTTGTTTGAGAATTTCAGATCAGTGTCATCAGCATACAAAAGTACCCTTGTAATTTTGTGTCAATTTGAAGATCGTTTATGTAAGGTTTGAATGAAAGTGGGCCAAGTATTATTCCTTGAGGTACACCAAAAAGTACCAGTTTCAGTTCGATTTTAAAACAGTTTGTTTCGATGTACTGATAGCGATCGTTAAGGTAAGGATCCATACGTTTTAAAACAGTCCATCTGAATCCCATATGTTCCAATTTTATTAGCAGATTAGAGTGATCAACCGTGTCAAAAGCTTTTGTTAGGTCTAAAAAAGTATTCTGAACAATTAGTTTTTTATTCGATACCGTTGTTGAAACTTCTTTCAACAATGTAATAATGGCGCCAACAGTTCTTTTTTTTGATCGGAAGCCAAACTGAGTGTTTCGGATGATTTTTAACTTGTCTAAATACGATTAGGTTCGTCTGAAAATTAAACGCTCAAAAAATTTACCAGAACAGGAAGAAGCGAAATTGGTCTATAGTGTGAGGGATCATTGATTTTTCCTTCCTTGAAAATTGGTACAGTTTTTGCGGTTTTTCAACAATTTGGGTAAATTTTTGAGGTTAGGCAGTCATTAAAATTTTCAGTCAGAAGGTCTGCTAGCATAATTTTAGGAATGCTGGACGAGAACAGCGTTGATATCATTTCAATCTGTACTATATTTCTTTTGTAGACTTTCGATGACTTCAATGACTTCATTTAAGTCATTTTCTTTCAAAAACAACGACTGCTGCTGACGGATAACATTACTTTCTAAGCAAGTTAGTTTACTTTGTGAATGTCTGGCGCCAATATTTGGGAAGATTTCGTTGAAATGCTCAGCGTCCTCATTAGATAGAATAAACAACTTGGAATTTTTCCTTGTACCTCTCATTTCAATAAAAAATTAGAAAAAATTAAATTTTTTAGATTTGGACTCATGCTTTTTTTTTATTGATAGTACTTGCTTTTTTTACGAATGATTAAATTTGTGACAAATTTATTTTGGGAAATATATTTGTTCCGGGCATCCGTTATTCCAATATGCAAAACTTTTTGTCATAACCGTTTATTTTTTGCTGCTGCATTTTTTACTTCATTGTCAGCACATGGATGGCTTTCTGATTGGACTAGTAATCCATTTGGAAAGTATCAACAGTCAATAAAAAGTATCAGCTACCTTCATAAGAATCAAAATTGTTTTTTCTAAAACTCGGCAAGACTTTTGCGGGTTTTCGGGATTCCGTAACTGCATACATTTGCCATTCTTATGTTGCAATTAAAAATTTAATTTCTGACTTATTTCCCTTTTTTTAACTTGTTCCAGTTTCTAGCAGTAAAAACACCTTTTTTCAGGAAATTTGAAAAAAATTGAACACGAAAATGATTAGACACTGAACTTTTGATAATTTTTGTTGAGAAACTGGATGTACAGAAAAACAAGTCAATCAATGTGCTACTACTTTCTGTCACTCTTTTTGGGAGACAGCCCGTTCTGTTTTCTAACATGCCATTTCCTATCATAATATCCTCAGTTTTCATTCGCTTGGTCGAATTTAACAGAAAATGTACGATGAAATCATCACAAACTATGTTTTCAGTTTCAGGCCTTTGCGTTAATCCAAGCAGATGGTTTTGCAGGCTTTCGAAGGTAGCGTTGTATAGAGATCTTGGTGAAATGAAAAAACCGGTTACTACATTTTTTTGATTTATTTTGGGTTTTTATGAGAACTATCAAGGTCTGACCCGGTGATAACATAGATGCCAAAACCTCCTCCTGGTTCATTTCTAGCGCAACTATAGAAAGATTCGTATCCTTGAACTTGAAAGCTATCCTTATCAGTGTTATTTTTTAGCCAGGTTTCAATTAAACAGATGATATGTGGACTTTGGGCCAACTGCTCTTTTTCTAATTCAAATTCTTGAAAGTTTTGGGGAAATGATCTGATATTTTGTAAAAACACTGAAAAAATTTTAGAATCTGTTTCCTCCTTGTCTCTGTTAACCATATGTTCTGTGTAACATTCAATTTTCGCATGGTTTCTTAAATTGTTGAAAATTAATTAACTTTGTGAAGTTCTTGCTTTTAAAAAAAAATTAATGCTTTTAACTACAAAAAACTCTGTTATTTCGAAAGCAGCAGAAATCGCCACTATGAGATGTCAGAAATCAGAAATCACCCAGGGGCAGTGCGGAAATTCCACAAAATCACCTCTTAGTCTAAAATTTTATTTTTCTCTGCAATAATAAGAATATTGCTAATTTTTATTTTTGATTCCCGTATAAGATTCTTTCATCCCCCTCCCATCCCTTGCCTCCTTCTTTTTCTTTTCAATTTTCAACATTTTCCTTTTTCCTGATTTCTTTTTTCGTTTTAAGCATCTACATTTAAAGTTCGCAAAGCAGAGCGGAAATTACGCAAGCTCTGGGAACTAATAAAGCAACACTAAAATATTTAATAATAAATAACACTATTTCACACTAATTCAAGGTTGTAGCGCTTGCTTAGCTGGCTTAGTTTTGCGAGCCAATTCAAGTGACCAATTTCCTTGACTTTTTGCAATTTTTATTTTTCGAATAACTATTCTTGCAAATTTTCAATATTGCGAACCATTTCAAGATATGGAACAACGTGAGTTTTTTCCAAATTCCATTGCTTGATTAGCTTGCTCAGAAAACTTTAGAAGCTTTACTAATTGTTTCATGCTAGGATATGCCCTGATAATTTTCAAACTTTCAACGCTGAGAAAATTTTGACAATGCGGCAGCAAACATATTCTAAATATGAGAACAATTCGAAATGATTTGAAGTTTTATCGGCTGCATAGCTTGCACGATTTTTTTCTATGTGGGTATTTTTTTCCGTTTTTTTTAACTATTTAAACGTTTTGCCGCTTGAGTAGTTCTCTCACAAAATAAACGTTTGCTAAACAACTCGGGCTTCGAAAAAAGGTGAGAACTTTTTAAATGTCATGGCTTGAATTCTTATTATAAGAAACTGTTTGCAAAACGACAGATATGAATAAATTTAATGTTCTTAGCATGATCTGCATGCTTGAGCAATTTTTTTTTCAAAACTTTTGTTAATTGAATATTTTGATTGAAAAAAATTCTTGCAAGCTGATCTCAGAAAAATCGTATTGGTCTTGGGAAAGTTCGTAATGCTGAACTACGAGGGTTTTCTTGCATTTGAAGCTGTAATTTCACGGGCCTTCCTTCGAGTTAAATTTTAAAAAATTATAAATATCACAAAATAAAATTTATAAATTTGTCCTGTACGAAAACGAAGATAATGCTATATTCACTCTTGCTGAGGTTGCAACTTTTTTTCTTTTAAAGCATATTGCTTAATAGGTTTAACGTTTTCTGATATGATTCGAGTTCTTGTCTGAATAGTTGAAAACGTTTTTTTTATTTAGACGATTTCAGACGTTTTCGGAAGTTGCGATTGTTCCTGGTAGCGGAATAACTAAATTGAGAGGTGTGGTCTTCGCTCTTGTTACTGGAATTGGTTGATACTTTTTCTCATTGAGGATACTGATTATAACTCTTATGCCGGCCAGAATAGTCGATATGAAAATAATGCCAGCTAGAATCACGACATTTCTAGTCGAGAGGTAATTACGACTCGTGAACAAGCATGACGACAGCGTCCACGTGAAGCAGAGATAGGGCGTGACTACGAACCGAACAGCCTTTTCGAAGATGCATGAGTCCATTATGAAGTAAACGAGAATAGCAATTGAGATTAGAGTGAGAATCAAAGTGGCTGACAGGTCTTGACTGAGAAAGTAAATGTCTCCGTTGCTGAGTAGTAAGTCGAGAGTTAATAGACTTTCAATAAGAGACATCGTGAATAAACCTGCCACTGCGTTTTGACATGAAATCTTGATGAACAGATACTCGACTCGAAATTTAGCCTGAAATAAGTCGAAATGTTTCAGCATGTTTGAAGAAAGAACTATTAAGGCGAACAGAAACGCCCAAAACTGTAATCCCAGAAGCCACAATGAAGCATAGCTGATGTTTCGATCCCACGTGAACAGCCACAAAATATGTGCAACAGTTGCAAAGGCAACTTGGCAGAAGAAAAGGGAAGTGAGAGTTGAAGGAATGGGTCGGAAGCAGCAGAGGCGATCTGTTGATATCTGGCAAGTGAGAGCCAGAGCCCATACTATCCACACTACATTCCACAGATGGAGTATGACGTAGATGAAGTAGCCGTGGGGACTGGGGTCCAGGAGGGTCCTGGTGGCAGAGACTGTGTCGTAGAATCCACGTGTGAACACACCTGCCATAACAACATTGAAAATTGTCCTGAACTTGGAGGTATGGTACAAGAAAAAAACAAAACCTAGAATACCGAAAGCCATTTCTCACATTACCCGATGTTCCAGCTTCATTGGGCTCCATAAAGTATTTTGTTCAAAAACTAGTTCAGGTTAAGTTGCGGTCCAATCAGATCAAAAGTGCAGAAGATTTGATTACAAAAAACCTCTTTTGCAAAATCTTCCCATGTTTTTTTTAAAACTTCTACTCAGTTTGTGTATCCATGCTACAATTTGTAATAACCGACACCAGTCAAAAAAAGAGAACGTCTCGGAAACAGTTCTTACCAAACTGAGCTTGTCCGACTACGAATAGAACAGTGAAGAGAGTGAGGATCAGGTAAGTGGCAAAGAGACAACCAGCTGTGAACCTCTGTCCGATCGAAGCACTCTTCACTCGCATCACTGTCATCATCTCCCGCTGGTTGCGATGCAAAGACGTCACCTTAATAATCATGGAAACAAGCTCATTAAACTTAGATTTGAATGTTTCAATTTATTTTCTATTATTTTCCGAGTAATTTAAACATTTTCATTTAGTTTCTTAATTAAAAAGTTGCGGAAAAATAAGTTCTGTAAGTCAATTATTACTTCAACTTTGGATATCCTGTTTAATGAAACATATTTTGTAATATTCTGAGGCTTTACAATTTTGTGTTTGTGTTTGTGATAATTCATTAATACTCCACTTTATAAACTAACAAATTGAACGATAAATTTTGATATAATGATTACCTGTCGATTTGTTAGAGGCATTCCCATCCTTGCAGCCCCTGCTCCATTGCGAGTCCAAGGGGTCCCGAGTCTCGGATCCATTTGAAGTCTATTGCCCCCAGTCAGGGGAGGTTGTAGGCTTAAAATTAAAGAGTTCTGATATATTTCATTTTCCTCGATAAGTCGCTGAAGTTGTTTAATCGTAACGTGTCTATTCAAACTTCCGAGGTAGTTTAAATTCGCCTCCATTATCGGAGGAAGTTTCTCCGAGGCCGAAAACGAATACGATCCTCTCTCGGACATGACTCGATTTTGAGCACTTTGAATTATGTCTGACGAGGGGTGGTTTTCTATGGTCATGCGAAGCATGATAAACAAAAACAGACTATTTATGACACGTTTCGTTACATTTTAGCACGTATGAATTACTAAATTTGGCTGAAACGTCGTCCTAACAAGTTCAATGGTCTTGTTATAATGCTGAATGACTTAATTGGTGCGATGACTAATCGATATATGAGCATTTAGCGCACAGTTTTTAAATTGTAAATGTATTTTTTGTTTTTCTAATTTACAAAAATTGTAATTTTAACTCAGTTTTAGTTCAACTCACAGCTTGAGTGTTTTTATCGGCAGACTAAAAACGAGTCTAGCTAATCATGAGCACCACACTTAGCCTATATAAAGAAAACATGAGCATATAAAACTGAAAGTACCTTTCACGTGAGCTTCGGTAACCATTTTACAATAGATAAATGATCTAGTGCTTCTTTAGTATAGAAGCTGAGCAAGAAGATAGCCGACCTACATCAATAAAATAGCGAAGAAACATAATAATTATCAGAGGTATGTGAGCATGATTGTCTGTTGAAAAATTTTGTCGATTTACTTAAAGGTCAGCTATACAAAATTATTTAGTTCTACCAAAACACCAGAATGACATATAGTTGGCGCCACAGCCAATTATTTGCAAAAATTACGTTTTTGAGCTTTTTTTAAAAATCGTTTTGACTAAAAAATGCGTTTTTTGGTGCGTTGTTCACATTCAAAATTAGTATATGGCACCAAATGCGCTTTTCACTTGTTTTAAGGTTGGTCAGGAAGAATCGTCATAAATATTATTAGCTGGGAGGACCTCTGGAAAAATTTGGCATCTACAACATTTCTATTTAAATTTAGATCTGACCCCATATTTTTAATTTCTTTTTTTTTTGTTTTCTCAAAACAAAAGCATGTTTTTTTATATGACTGCACTTCAAGGTGCAGCTCAAGCTCACCTGGTGAATCTGTTGAATTGTGGCCTCTGGCTCGGATCAAGAATCAAACTCAATCTAGCCGGATTGTATGTGCTTTCATGTGAATGCTGCGTTCTCAATGACGGAACTCTCGTGAAAACTCCAGAAGAATCTGCCATCCTCTCAGTTCCAGTTAGGTTTCTGGTCACAAACGGGTTGTTTATCTCGAAGTTGAATCCTGCTCTGTGATTGGTTGAATCATCTGTAGGCTCACAACCCGCAGTCGCAGTCTGAGTTCGGCTGCTGGAGAATGAAGGTGCGCCCTCGTGTGGGTGCTCTTCGTCTGTCGGCGATTCGGCTTTGTTCCGATCTCGGAGTCCAATTTGCTCTATATTCTGCGATGGTCCCAATCCTATCCCAGATAGCCGCACAAAATCTCGAGACCTGCAACATTCGAAAAATAATGGTCAAAATAACGAAGTGCTGCTAGCCAAAGACTTCATTCGAAAAGTGGCCTGTAACTTCTAACGGGCTATGACAACTTGAAACTAACTCGCAATTTGGGCTATGCAAAGTTTACTCTGTATGCAATCACACACGTCTCGCAAAAACTGTAAATGATCTAGCTAAATATCGAAAGTTTTCAAAAATGAAGGGGTAATTTTAGGGGGGATGTTCCCTTTTCCTTAGGGATTCGACCCCCTCATCAACCAAAGGGTTTCCCTTTTGGTAATATCTTATGACGTCCATTTTAGCCGGACCAATCCTATAAGCTTTCTAAAAGCGCCTAATTTTGAAGGGGAGCGTGCCCCAAAAAAACGCAAATTTTTGTCAAAATTTTCCAAAAAGTGCCTTTTTGACCTGCTTTTTTTTTTCAAAAATTTGCATGCGGCGCAGAATTATAATAATAATAATCATAATAAATTGTTTCCAAACGATATCTAGTTACAAAGTTATCTATACAAATTTATAAATACAAATTAGAATCGTTTGAGAGAACATCATTAAGCTAACAAGGCCCAAGGCCCAATTCGATCACAAGGTCCCACAGCTTAATTCAGCAATGATTGTGAAAACTTTTTAATAAACATTTTCAACAAAATTTCAAATAGCTAAGAAAGAGTGCAAACAAACGTTCAGTAAAATCATCATTGATTACAAAGTATGTGTTTTCCTCTTAATTTTTTTTCTGAAAACACTTTTTTTTGCTCTAAAATCATCATTGATTACAAAGTATGTGTTTTCCTCTTAATTTTTTTTCTGAAAACACTTTTTTTTGCTCTAACATTGTCATTCAAACTAGTCAGTCGAAATTAACAAATTCAGCGCTTTTTTTGCGGGTAGGTGAAAAAAACTCCGGCCTTGTTTTTTACACGCGATATCAGCTACAACCAAATTGTCGATTCCAAAAAATAATTGGAAAATCTCTCAATATGAGGCAAAAACTAGTCTGAACTTTTCCTCAACTTATATCACTCAATTTTTAAAGAAACAAAGTTTTTAGGATCAATTTTAGTTTGAAAAAAGTACGTTGATTAAATTTAGATCGATTTTAGTATGAAAAAAGTACAAATATTAAAACAAAAAAGATGAAAAATTATTTGGATTGATTTAAAATTGATTTAAATTGATCTTAAATCCCAGCTAAAAAAATTGATCCGAATCGATTTTAAATCAATTTACATGCATTTTTTTGAGTCTGAATTATTTAAATCATTTTTTTTCAATCGAGATTTAACAGTTTCGAATTTTTATTGCATTTATTCATTGCCTATCATTTTTCATTTTACTTCCATAGCGTATTGTAGCATAAAAAAGACCAAATATTATCGATAAATGACTATGATTTTCATGCATTTTTTGATTTCAAAAGCTGATCTATTTTGACCCTTTTATTGAATCGTTTTATAAATTTTGCTCAAAATCTAACTTTTATGATTTAATTACATACTAATGAGATCAAATTTTAATTTATTTTGACCCTTTTCTTGTTTGTTACATAGGATTTTGCAAAATCTGATTTACAATATTTTTCTATAATTTCATTGCCTATTTCGAGCTCAAAATCTGATTTTTGTGGATCATTTTATTGATTTCTATAACATCTGGCGCGAATGTTTATTTTTAAAAAATTGAGAATAAAAAAACCCATCAGTTTTTTTAAAGGCTATGTTTTTCTCGCCGTCTTAGCAAAAAAATTGATTTAAGTGAGTCTGATCTATTTTGACCCTTTTATTGAATCGTTTTATAAATTTTGCTCAAAATCTAACTTTTATGATTTAATTGCATACTAATGAGATCAAATTTCAATTTATTTTGACCCTTTTCTTGTTTGTTACATAGGATTTTGCAAAATCTGATTTACAATATTTTTCTATAATTTCATTGCCTATTTCGAGCTCAAAATCTGATTTTTGTGGATCATTTTATTGATTTCTATAACATCTGGCACGAATGTTTATTTTTAAAAAATTGAGAATAAAAAAACCCATCAGTTATGTTTTTCTCGCCGTCTTAGCAAAAAAATTGATTTAAGTGAGTCTGAAAATCCATCCAAATCAATTTAAATCGATTTTGATGGATTTTCAGACTCACTATAGATCAGTTTCTGAACTCAAAATTGATTTAAATCGATTTTTAGGACACTCAAATCAATCCAAAATTTTCAAATAAGATCGATTTAAATCGATTTAAAATGGATTTTAGTGAGTTTCGGATTGATTTTAGTGAAACGGAAAATCTAATCAAATCAATTAAAATCGATTTTTTAGACACCAAAATCGATTTAAAATTTTCAAAAAGATCGATATAAGTCGATTTAAAATCCAATTAAGCACGTAAAAAGTAAATTGTTAATCAATTTGGATCGATTCAAAATCGATTTAAAATCAATTTAAATCGATCTGAAACCATTTTTGTCAGTGCGGTGAGTCTAAAAAAAAGCGCAGCAACTTACGATCTGGTTATGTTGATTGTACTCGGAGGTCGGAACCCCACGCGTATTGGGGAAGCATTCCGACCATTTGCCAGAGAACCTCCTGCTGGATGATCTATGAGCGCTATTTCGACTGGCTTATTTACGGATGATGCTGCAAGTGATGATGATTCCGATTCATCGTCACTGTCTTTCAGTTCCGACAACTGACTCAACCGATCGGCACTTAGGTTCTGATGACTAATTGAAGCCATGTTGTGGCTGTTCGAACTTACTTGTTCTTCAATCGCAGATAATCTACTCATTTTTGATGTTTAATGATATGTAAAAAAAGAACTGGAATTAATGGCTGACTCGCTTTTATCGGATTGTATTTTCAATGTTATATACCGCTAGAGTACTTTCACTTAAGCTCGTCGAGATAAGCTTTTCAGAAATAAGTTTTTTTATATAACAGAAGTCTTTTTGATTAACCACATACGACAAAAATTGTAACATTACCACTGGTTTAGCTGTTTTGTCAATTCGTTGCTTGTGTGTAGTTTTTGGCGTCGCAAGTTATTGAGTAGCTTCTCAATCAGCGGGGGTGTAAAAAAACTCTTAAGCCTTCAGCGTTTTTCTGCCAAAAGTAGCCATAAGTGATTATGTGCGGTAGATTGAAGTCAAAAAGAGTTCAGACCATCTGTTAAATCTGCAGAGATTTGTAATGTGTTATGTACCATACAGCTAATCAACAAAAGTTTTGCCACTCAAAACGAAAAAAATCGCGATGAATGAAAAATGCGCTTTTTGTCAGGTTTGAAATTATATAATTATATTTATTTGTTCGAGTTTTGGATCCAGCGCAGTGTAAACAAACCACAAAGAAATTGAGACAAACGTTTTCATAGTTGATGTTTTTGATAGGTTTGATTTAAAACGTTATTTCAAATACGAGCCGGTGATTTGAGCCATGGTCGAAGTTTTTTCTCCAGAAGATTCAAATTTTAAACATAACCCCGAATGTTAAATTACAAATGTGTCACGAAATAAGCCTACAAAATGACATTGTATAGAGCTTGCGAACTCCAGACTGGCTTTTAGATTATATTGCATTTGAAAATTACTTGAATATAAAAATTGTATATACATTTATGATTCGCGATATGACTTTCGCAACAAAAAAAAACACATCGCGACTTTCTAGACCGAGGCTGCGACGGTGTGAACACGTTTATGCCACCAAATTTTAACCGTTCCAGACTTTCGCATTCGAAATTTTTTTTGTTATTTTTTTGTGAAAAAAAGTAGACGGACTGAAGGGGCAAGTTTTATTCCTCCCTTTATATTTCCTTCAACTAGGTTGCTGCTGAAAGCTTCGTACTCTGCACGCTTCATTCTCACTCTATTCATTCTCTGAGCATGACTGACCATCAGAAGGGAGTTTAAGCAGTGAAACAACAATGGCTCTTTTTTGTTATTACAGAGCTCAGAGCTGTTGCATGTATAAAGCCACCTCGTTTAGGTTGATCTAGAAAAATCAAAAAGATTCCAATAAACTCAGCCAACAAAAAACAATTTCTTCATTGAAGGAAACATATTATTTTTATCGAAAATACATTGACATTTTTAACTTTAACATTTAAAAAACATTGAAATTATTGGATCTTCTTTGAGTCACTTCTTGGGATCACTGAGTGTCTTTGTTTACACAATTGATCTGATATTAATTCGAAAAACATTCACATCTAATCCAATTTTAAAGTCCTGAAGACATGAAGAAGTCCTAATACTGAAAAATAGTGAAGTTAATTAAAACAATCATGCAGTTTTATTAAAAATAGATCGATGCAGTTTTATTAAAAATAGTTTATAAGTTTCTAATGATTAAGTACTTTTCAGGTACGTAAACTCATATGTACTAGTTTTTATAGGGCACTGTCTCTCAAATGGTTCGAGGTCAGTGTCAACCAGATTTAAAACATAAAGACTGAAATTAAGTTGCTATTTGAAACGTCTTATTTGCATGAGACTCAAAAAGTTAGTTAGTACACAAAAGTTTATCTAGTCACAGAAGTAGTAGCGGTATAACATGGCGCAGCCACTAGCTCCCAAAAAATCCATTGCGAACAACGCCTTTCTGGCAGAAGATGCCAGCGGAACTACAAACCGAGTGAGAATTTTGGAACTAAAAGTTATTCTTTGGAATCATAGACAAAGATGAAAATAACTTACAAAAACTGTTAAAACAACCACCACCGGTACGACAAAGGAACCAGATTACGAATTTTTTACTAGCAGGGAATCAAACACCCAATTTAGAGACCGCGAGTTACGTAACGAAGAAAAGCGAGTACAATGACAAAACCAATGTCAATTAAAAGACAACCTTGGCCCTACAGTAGGTGGCGTCCCGTGGAAAAAAGTAACCATGAACATCCACAGCTACGTTTAGCTGTGTTAAAGATAAACCTTGATCAAATTAAAACACGTTTTCTCAGCGAATTTCCAGAATCGTATACTTCAAATGTAAAAACTCGTTGAGCCGATCAGACCAATAACAAATCAAGAGAAACAAAAACTTGAAAGAGCACCCATTGCCTTCCCAAAGGACCAGGTTAAAATTCCGGCACGCACAAAAGACCCAAAAAAGAACGGATGGAATAAATTGCCAGTAAATTGGGCGCAATCGCAGAAAAAACGGAACATCTGGACACATTTGGAGATCAATTCAAAATAATTGAGAACGACTCGTTAAATAACTTTTCTCCCCACACTGCCCGGATGAGTGAAGACTTTAAACAACCTCGAGGATTAACACACGACGGCCTTGCTTTCAAAACAAACCCAAGGGTTTATGGGAAATGTAGACCGGCATTTTAAAAGGTTTTCGTGCCATTTAACATTCAACAAGAGCTAAGCAACGTTTTTCAGCAGGAAAGGAAGCTGGGGACAGAATTTCAGAAGAGGCGCTCTACAAAATCATCAATTCAAAGCACAAGCTCAAAACGATCACCACCTAAAACACTCAATCAACAGCCAATCAACCATAGAGCACTTGGGCCACAGATTTTGGTTAAACTTTTTGTCACCAAAGCAAAGAAAGCCCTAATGGCTTGGCAGATGACTAAGGTGGATCAGCTCAGCAAAGACATTACTCAAACGTAAACTGCTGGTAAAATGAGCCCGAAGAAAAAAGAGAAAAGAAGACCTCAGCCAGACAAAAGTTCAATGGAACACTTCATTCTCATTTTTCTCATTTTCCGACTTAAAACGATAACTGCCGTCACCACAAAAAAACCGTCGCAAAAAAGATTGGACATCAAAATCACACAAGAAACAAACCACTCCAATTGCCGACAATCAAATCGAACGAGAAACAGCGTATTAGCCTCCAAATTCGGAAACCACATTCCAATCGGACGAATTTCAGACTGCAAATCAAACGCCCTCCTGGTGTGCAACACGAAGGAGATTAAAATATTCTCATCCCGAGACTGAAAATCCTACAAAACAGTTATCACCACAAATTACGGCAACAGATATTCCATGCACGAATACCCATATGGACACGTCAACGCCTGAAAACGCTAGAGCAGAGCAGAGCAGGCAGAACAGATAGAAGAAGTGTAAGTCCAACAACAACAACACAGACCAACAACCTCCCAATAAAAATTGGATAGACCATCGGAGGAAACGTTTGTCAAAAGTTTTGAGACGGCAATGAGCATCCTATAGTCAATCTTGCTAGTTCGGGGAAACTCAATGACGGCGAAACCAAAAAAAAAAAATCACAAAAACAAGAAACGTAACGTCATATGTACTAGTTTTTATAAGGCTCTCTCAAATGATTCGTGGTCGGTGCAGGCAGACTTAAAACATAGAGATTGATTTTAAATTGACATTTGAAACGTTCTATTTGCATGAGATTCAAATGTTAGATATTACACAGAAAATTACCTAGTCACAGAAGTGATGACAGTGTAACAGATTCTAAGCTGGCATATTGTTTTTTTTCTGATCTTGAAGACGCGGCGAAAGTTCAAAATATTTTCTAGGTTGACGGAATCTAGAGGAGTAATTTAAACCATAAAACTAGGTCGTTTTTTTTTACAGAAGAAAAGGTTTTTTAATAATTAAAATTTTAGCAAAAGACGCTCTATAACACTTGCAGTTGATAATCAATCACAGCCGAGCTCAGAAGATCCAGCGCCGCACCAAGAGTCTCCCCAAGCCAGGAAACTTTCCCCCAGAAGAGAGACCTAATTGACCGCCATGTCGTATAATCCCTGAAAGGGCGCTATAATCCCCATAAACATCAAACAAGTCATTTCAAATGAATAAATTTATCTCAAAAATTAGGCAGTGAAACGCGTACAAGGCTTTGTGTTTTTCAACAACCTTTTTTTGAAAACAAAAAAGTTTTAAAAAACTGATTAAGAGAGGTAAAAAAACGATATTAAAAATTTTTTGGTAGGACGATTCAAATGTTTTTGAACCCTTTGTGATCATCAGGCCTGAAAGTTTCCACAAAATTCACAAAAAGATCAAGAAGTTAGGAATAGTGACAGGTATGTCTAATTGTTTTAAATTACCATGTAATTTTTTTTATCAAGTAACTTTTATTGTGTAGGGATTTATCCCAAATTTTAGCTCCAGTTTCCTAAAAAGAGTCTGAGTAAAAATATAATTTGTTCTTTAGCTGCTATACTTTCTTGTTTCGTGATTTTTTTTATGACATGTTTGATTTTTCAGTGACAAGGAGAGTTTCTAAGTAGCCACGAGCAGGTTGCATGAGCAAACTATTCCTCCAGAACTGCCTCGCACTTAAAAGAAATTTTACTAATGTTGACTGTGTATACACTTTAAATGCAAAGTTTGTGGTATGTGCAACTAGACGGTTTAAAAATACGTGCGTGCCTCTCTTGAAGTAAAATTAGGAACTGGGTGGATCAGGTAGTACGAACCTGCAGTAAAGAAAAATTACTAAAAAAATGACTTTGTAAATTGAAGAAATCAACGGAGTTTGTCCTGGATGTCAAAAAAGAGGGCATATCGGATTATGGCGGTGGAATGCGAAGCCTGCTTGAACTGATTAACTTTTGAGAATGGTAACAAATTGGACTACAGCACCAAAACCTTGCAGAAACAGTCTTAATGTGCAGAGCAGGCTAAAAGAAAGAGTAAAAAGTTATGTGGATGATATAGTGAGTAGCGTTTTTAGGATAGTTCTATAAACAGCTATTGAACTGCATCCAAGGTGGCAGTTTGCTAG